TTTACTTTTGATTGTAGTTAAGTAAAACTTTACAAACAAATTGATTTTTTTCAGGTTCAAGGTAAATCATGGTCACGTTAAAAAGTTCATTATAAATCAGAGTTGATGATTGATTAGCTTGAAGTTTGTTGTTTTAAAACTCGTAATAATAGTAAAACAAAAAACTTAATTAATCTAAATTGATCTCGTTTATTTCAAGGGCATCGGGAAGGTTATGATGATGACGATGATTATCATTAACTAATCACTGTTGATTGTGTTTCGCAACAATGGTTCTTGTTGAATACTATTGATTATCTTGAGATGATGAGCTGAGAGAGAGAGAGAGAGAGATATTCAAATGATGATTTGGTTATCGAAAGAAAATTATTTGTATTAAGACAATTGATTAGTAGTAATAACCTTTTTGTCTATGGAATTTTTTGTCTCTCTATGTTTTCGTGTTCGATTCCTAGTGACCTGTCAAATGTCATTGGGAATATTTTTCTGTCTAAACTTTTGACCTTCTCTTTTTCTTGGTTAAGGTTCATTAATTAATGTGATCGTGAAAACATGTTAAGGTTCAATAGGGACTTGGGTCAATGTAACACGAGGATAAACGGACTGGTCAAGAATGAGAGAGAGAGAGATCATAATATAACAGAAGATTAGACAACTTCCACCACCTCCTCCTCCTTGTCCACCGCCTCTCTTTTCCTCTCTCACCATGAACCTCCCACCTCTTTCATAATGTTGATTATATATTGAGAAGAATAAAGAAAGAGGAAAGAAAAATAATCTTTCTCCCTTTGAATTGACCATAACTTGACCATCAGTACTTATCTACTGTTCAGTGCACTAGTTGAGACCCGGAAAAGGTTATCAAAATTTTCTTTCTCTCTCTCTCTCTTTCTGTTTCTCTTTCTCAATGGTCATCGGGATCATTTGCACCAGCACTTTTTGGACTGTTGAAAGTTACTTAAGGTACAATGGGTGTTACATTGGTCAACACGAAGTTCGTGGTACGTGTAATATGATTGATTTGAAGAGTAAACTTAAATTCCTTGGTCAATGGACCGAGAGAGGTAACAATTTACAGAGAAAATGATAAACTTTGTTATAATTCATCATTTCGAAGACGAAAAATATATACACAAGTTATAGGGAATGGTGATGATGATGATGAAGAAAAGAGGAGGAGGAGGAGTAGGAGGAAATTTCGAAAAAAAAAGAAAGGATGATAAGAAGAAAAAATGGACTTTAAACAGATGAAAGAGAGAAAAAGTTAATTTCGAAAAGTTTTCTGAAGGAAATAACATTGCAGAATTAAGATTTTTAGGGCGGGAATTTGCTCTCGCGGTTTTGTCTCGGGTCAAAGGTAAAAAAGTCTCTTCGTTTTATCATCTCCATTGCATCTTCATCCTCATCACTTTTTTGTATCTTCATCATCCCTTGGATAATCATTACGAAGACGCGTGTTTAACCCAACATCAGCTTCTAAATGATAAAAGATGTGTAAGAGAGAGAGAGAGAGAGAGAGAGAGAGAGAGTTTTCTCTCTTCTTTTTTTTCGAAACTTGAGATTTTATCATCCCTTTATCATCATCATCCTTTTTTTCTCTCTCTCTCATCTTATTTGCTCTACAATCTAAAATATGGTCATCTGAAGATACTTTTTGATAGAGAGTATAAAGGGCAGAGAGATAGAGAGGGAGGAAGAGGTACTGATGATGATTATGATGATAGGGAAGAGGAGGAGGAAGAGAAGAAAACAGTTTGAGAGAGAGAATTTTTTTTGTTTTCATCATAACATCTTGAGGAGAAAAAAAAAGATGAAATAAAAATCTAAGCTAATGGTACATTCGTCTGGTAATAAGTGAGTTAGTAGAGTTAGTGAGCGAGGAATAGAGAGAGAGAGAGACAGAGAGAGAATGAGAGAGAACTAGAAGGGTCAGTGAGTGAGTGAGTTCGCACTGACTTGAAGTTTATTGGCACGAGCAAACGGCACGTAAAACGGCGCGTGCATTATGTTAGGATGAGCTAAGAAAAAAAAATAAGTGAGTGAGTAAAAAGAGTGAGTTAGACAAAGAGAGAGAGAGAGAGAGATGATAATGTTACCAATGTGTTGAGCATCATCATCATCAAAACAACAAGGAACAGGAAAAGAAAGAGATGAAGATGAAGATGGTGAAGATGTTTGAAGTAAAAGGACATTGGCCTGACCTTATCTGGGTCAATAGGGTCTCTCTTTTACCGTAATCTCTTCCCCTTCCCACCCTCTGCCTATTTGTATGGATCATCATCAAAAAAAAAGGAGAAAAATAAAAAAGAAAGAAAGAGAAAGAGAGAGAATCTATTTAAAGAAAGAGGAACCTTTCATGTACTAAAAATAATACCAACCATAGGCACTTACGAGTAGGTACAGGCACAGACACACACGGGATAAAATCGACCCATAGACAAAAGCGATCTGTTAGAAGGTCGAAAACATTTTCGAAGATGATAAGGAAGAAAAGGTGAATGGTAAATACAATAAGAATATATAAGGAAAAGAAAACCATTCAATTTGAATTTGACCTTTTCTTCCTCATCCTCATCCTCAGCATCTTCATCCTCTTCCTTATTTTTATCCCGTTTTATGTGAAAAAAAGGATAATACTAAAAATAAAAAGTACCAATGGTTGACAATCACCTTTGTCCTCAGTTTGTTGACACACACACACACACACACACAGTTAACCTCCGCTCGATAATCATAATCATCATCATCATGATCGTCACAATTAACATTTAGATCGATCAAAAAAAAAGAAAACTTTGAACAGTAAAAAGATAACTGTAAATTCAAGGTGAACCAGAATAGCTCATCCAAGTGTATACCCCATGTTATTTAACTTATTTCATGATAAAAATTGATTATATGCTAATCATAATTAACAATTAATCTCACAACTTTAACCATAAACAATATTATAATACTAAAAGAAGAAGAAAAAAAAACCTTTGTAATTTATCACTAATCAGAATCGCAGAATCATCATCATCATCATAATAATTAATATCTCACCCAATTATCCAACAATAGTCAATTAAAACCAGAGAAAGTAAAAGATAATAATAAAACTCCATAGGTAAACTCATGGTAACACAGATAATTATGATAATCAAATGAATCGAGAGTTGATTTATCATGAAGAGAAACAATCAGAACGAAAAACCTAAAGAATTAAATGAAATTAGTGAATTACAAAAATCTATTACGATTGAAATATTTTTCCAATGGTAATTAATATATATAAGTGTATAATCCTAATCTCTTGTTAATGAATTAATTGCTTATGTAACAAGGATGATAAACTTATTTCCATAGAAGGTTGGAAGAAATTTTCTTCTTTTTCTTCTCAGGAAAATATTATCTTTGCTCTATCATATTTCTGATCATGATGATGATGAAAACTCCGTCATTGGAAGAGGAAGATAAACTTTCTCTCCATCCATAGACATGCTCTGTCTTTTTCCACTGATAATTAACAGAGAGAGAGAAAAAACTCATAGAAATCATCAATGCTTATTGGCGACTTGTTAACTGTTTCATCAACCATCATCATCTTCATCATCATAGTAATAATGATCATCATTATTTACACCATTTACTCATTAGCCCCTTAACTGAAAACCCTCCGTGTATTTTGCTGATGTTACCTTTGTAAATTTTTTTCTCTCTCACTTGCTCTCTCTCTCTCTCTATCCGTCATTCTAACGGTATTTTAGCTCTTTTATTACTTTAGAATGAAAAAGTTTCTCTTTCTCTGTCTTCCTTTTTGTCTTCTTCTAAAAACCTTTGCTCATTTATCTTCAAATGAGCTTAACTAAACAGATAATTCACCTTGAATTTTTTTTCTGCCCCAGGGGCAAGTTGTTGTTCTTCTTGTTGTACCTTAAATACACAACGACGACACAACGTTTGAGGTTCAACACAACAAACAGTTATATCTATTTAACCTTTACGGTGTTTTCGAGTTGATTGTTTAGATAAAAAACAAAGGTAAAGGTATTCGATCATTAGAAACCTTTTACCTTTTCTCTCTCTCTCTCTCTCTCTCCTTAGATCTCATTTCTATCAGTTCGATGATGATATTTTTTACTCTTCTTTTCTCTTTCTTTCATTTTACTTACCCTTCTCATCTCTAACCCTTTGACCAGCCCCTAAAAAGATACCTTTCGATAGTTCTAAGCGAACTGACCAATCGATGATAACGAGAGAAAGGTGAACTCTCTCTCTCTCGTTTTTTCATCTCTCTCTTTCTCCTCCTTCCTCCCCATTCCCTTTCTTCTCCTCATCTTCTCTGTGCTTCTTTACTGTTAAGGAAAAAAACGGGGGTAAAAAAGTAGAAGAAAATTTCCCCAATATCTTCATCTTCTTTTACTCCCATCATCTTATTCTCCATCGTCTTAGCTCCTTGCGTTTTCTCTCTCTCTCCTTCTCTTTCCATCATAATCTTCTCGCTCTCTCTCTCTCTCTCTCTCTTCTACTTGGTTGTTGTACTTTCTTCGTTCCTTAACAGTTTCCCTAAGAACCTTGACAATGAAAGGTCCAAACGGTGAAGGTCTTAACCTACGAAGTGATTCGATATACAAAACCCTAACCTCAACCCCCGACCTTCACACCGATGAATATTTACACCAAAAAGCCAAGGTACTATTTCTGTCCAATTTTATCAAGTTTTTTTTTATCTCATATGATTTTTTTCTCGATTCTTATTCAATTGCGACAATTAAGAGAGAAAAAAAAATTGATACGAAAAAGAAAACTTTTACTAAAATCGACGATTAACTTTACCATGTAAGCCGAAAGACGCTGAAGAAATAAACAAAACTTTCAATGTCATTTTCGTGTTTTCATTAAGTTAACTTTAATTGTATTCCAACAATTGTGATTGTGATTGTGATTTAATTTCTTCGCCAACAAGTTAATCAACTTACGAAAGTTTTATAAATACTGTGATCTAATTGTGTTTTCTTGTTCTTCTCTCTGTTTTTTTTTCTCTTATGTTTTTCTCTCAATCACTATCATTGGATCTTTGTGATGTTCGTTATTCGATTATTTCAATGGTTCAATTCGTAGCTTCGTAGAATGGAAGATGGAGCTTGGGATTTAAATTCCATCAACGAAGAGGAATTTGATACATTAGCTGTTTACGTTGTGCCTGATCAAACGTGCGATGAAATAACGACCGAAGTTAATCGTGCGAAATCATCATTACCTCGAAATTTAGTATTAAAACCATCACAATCTTGTAGCGATGTAAGTAAATGAAACACTTCGAACAACCAAACGAAAAACTTTTCTCGAAACTTGACTCATAATTATCTCTGATCGATTCCCTTGAACAATTTAATTGAAAGTTACAATTTCGTTGAAAAAGATTCGAAACTTTAACTCTGATATTTCAATAAGTTTTTCGTTCTCCTTCATTTTTGATCATTTTGAAAAAGTAACTGTAACTTGGGAATTGTTGTTAGTGTTTTTGTCGATTGTTTGTTTACAATTTCTTTTTTTCTCTCGTGTTTTGGTCATGTCAGGTTCTCGGCGTTTGGGGGACAGATTACATACCAAGAGGCACACGCTTTGGTCCCTTGGTTGGTGAAATCTACAAACGAGATGAAGTGCCCGAAGATGCCAATCGACAATACTTTTGGAGAGTCTATAGAGATAAAAGTGAATACGATTACATCGATGGGTACGATGTTACCAAAGCCAATTGGATGCGCTACGTTAATCCAGCATTTTCGTCGGAAAGTCAAAACCTGGTTGCATGTCAAATCTCAAATGGAATCTATTTCTACACAATTAAACCCATCATGCCCAATCAAGAACTACTTGTCTGGTATTGCCGAGAATTTGCCCAAAGATTAAATTTACCTTCTTCAGGTGAACTTGTAACGTGTCAAAAATTGAACAGTAAGTAAACTGACCAATGGCTATTATTATTTTTAGAAAACAGCGAGAGAGAGAGAGAGAGAGAGAGAGAGAGAGAGAGAGAGAGAGAGAGAGAGAAACAAAAAGCTCGAAGTATATAAAACAAGAACAACATCAACAACGAGCAATATACTTGTGATGATGATACTCAATTCTTAAAATATACTTACTAGAGTGTTTATTGCTCTGCTGATAGTTGGTTGATTGAAAGAGAATAGAAAAGGAAAAAAAAAATTCTATTCTATTCTATGAGTGTTTCTGCTTACCTTTTCCTTTTTTCTTCAGTGTGTTAAAGTTGCTAATTTTTTCTTCTTCTCTTCTCTCTCTCTCTCTCTCTATTTTCATCATCAACAGATAATAAAGAGTATTATGGTGGAAACACACGAACCGAAGGTAGTACCCGAAGTGATGAAGGTTATCACAGTAATTGTGGACCCGATGATGCCTCAACCCCACCCGAAGATAGTAGTGATAGCGATAGTGATAACAATTATGTTTTAGATTTTTCTGTTAAAAGTAAACGCGCTGATAAAGATCGCAATAAAATAAACAAGGTAAGTATCTGATTCATGAAAAAATCCAACTCGAAACAATTGAATAACCAATTTCTCTCTCTCTCTCTTGATTTAGTTGGAAGTTAGTAAGCAATTAAATGATAAAAATGAATTCCACCGTTTCAAGATCAAAATGCCTCGAGTATATAATTGTCTGGACACTGAACGGATTCGTGAACCAGTTCATGTTAACGTATCTCAACCTGGTCATAATCTTTATCCCGTTTACAATAATAACAAGAAGAATAGTTTACAAATTGGTTGTAATTTAAATCTTCAATTACATTCACCTGATTCAACTGAGAAAACTGATACTTTCTCATCAACATCTTCAACAACCTCATCTAAATCATTCTCACCCACCTCATCTTCACCAGCATTACTTTCATCATCTAAATCATTTTCACCAAGCTCATCATCACCAGCATTATTATCATCATTATTAACCCTTTCATCGTCAACCTCACTCTCATCACCAGCATTAACAACCTCATCTTCAGCCTCACCTTCAGCCTCAAAGGAGCATCTTCTACATCATCATCATCACCATTCTCATAACAATAATCATCTTCATCTTCATCACCATCATCATCATAATAATCAAAATAACGGTGATTTTATCTCTTCCAATGGTTCACCTTCAAGTAACACTGGAAGTGGTAATGGTGGAGGTTCAAGTGGATTTCCTGGTTTATATTTTAATCGAGATGTTGATGGTGTTAAATTAGCACCACTTTCATCAGCTGAATTAAATCATCACAATAGTACCAATAATAATCTTCCTCATCACAATTTTCCCTCCCATTTGTCACATCTCTCTCATCTTCCTCATCTTCCTCATCTTCCCTTACTTCCTATTCCAACTCCTCATCATGAAAGTTCCTCACCCACCTCAAGTATAGCGACAAATGATGTCGGTCAATTGTCACCCGGTTCTGCTCATGGTCGAGGTTACCGGTCACTTCCTTATCCATTGAAAAAGAAAGACGGTAAAATGCATTACGAATGTAATATTTGTATGAAAACTTTTGGTCAACTTTCTAATCTTAAGGTTCATCTTCGAACTCATTCCGGTGAAAGGCCATTTAAATGTGGAACTTGTACCAAATCTTTCACCCAATTGGCTCACCTTCAAAAGCATAATCTTGTTCATACCGGTGAAAAACCTCATCAATGTGATGTTTGTAAAAAACGATTCTCATCAACAAGTAACCTTAAAACCCACCTTCGTCTTCACAATGGACAAAAACCTTATGCTTGCGATCTCTGTCCAGCCAAGTTCACTCAATTTGTCCATCTAAAGTTACATAAAAGGTCACACACAAATGAACGACCTTATACTTGCTCAGCCTGTAATAAGAAATATATTTCCGCTTCCGCATTACGCAGCCATTGGAAAAATACCTCATGTCAACCCAACGAAATAGATGATCCTTATATCGATATTGAAAATTCAAATTCATCCTCATCATCACCAATTAATGCTCATATTTCAGAAAGTATCGCACTTTTTGATAGTCATTTTCATATTTAACTCACATAACAAGAAAAAAAACAAATCAAACCAACAAAATTTGGGGAAATTCATCAACAACAACAACAACAACAAAATCTTCATATTCATCATCATCTTTTCTCATCACCATCATCCCACCGTCATCATCAATTCCATCAACGATACCACCGTCAATAAAATCATCAAAAAATTTTCTTCTTTTCTCTTTGCACCACTGAAAATTATCATCTCTCTCTCTCTCTCTCACTCTTATAAAGATGTTTAATTTCATTCTATTTATCGTAACATCCTCATCATCATCGTCATCATCATCAACAAAACAAAACAAAACCCACCACACCAATAATGATAATATTAATAATAATCTCCATGGATTAAAATTTAAAATCTCATCTTTGATCAAAAAAAAAATTATTAATTATAAGCAAAAAACTTACTCCTTTTTTTTTGAGAAAACAAAAACTTATATCCAACAACGAGAGGGGAGATTTTAACCAAAATGTTGTCCATAACAATGTCTTAAATTAAATTTATTAAACTAAATAAAAGTCTAAGAGTGTTATCACTATTTACGAGAAGAAATTAATTGTTATAAATATAATTAACTCGGTGTTGTTTCTTTTTTTCTTTCTGCTGGTAATCTAATCAGGTCCCGATAATTTCCACGTTTTAACTGTTTACAAGAATTTTAAATGAGAGAAGAAAATAGAATTAGAATTAATAGAATTGATTTTGTAAACATTGGAAATTAATTGCTGGTGTTAATTTTGGTTAGGAAATTTTCGCCTCTCTATTATTACCAATTTCAATGTTTGCTTGTAAATTTTTCCATCATTGTCCAGGTAGAAAGTTGATGTTCCTTCAAGTGCTTCCCAGCTGATTAAAGAGAGAGAGAGAAGAAAACAAATTTCTAATTAAAATGACAATTTCTTTTTGTCGAACAATTTAATTAACAATTTAACTTACTCGTCTCTACGTTCTTCTGGCTTTTTATTAAATGAATTAGCTAAATCAACAACGAAAATGAGCATCCAGCCTGGTTTACCGTACATTTGCCATCTAATGTCGATGATCCCTTCGTCCGTATTTTTGGTCACTTCGACTGCTTTGAAATTGATTGCATTGTATTTCCAATTGAGGTAGAATAGATATTTCATTGTATGTAATTGATAATTGGTTAAACCTTTGATCTGTTTATTTAATATCTCATCATTCAATTCAATCTGAGGTGAGAAAAGACCAACTCGAGGTGAGAAACGTTTAAAGTTGGCAATCTAGAGAAAAGAAAAGAGAAAGAAAAGAAAAACGTAAATTATTTCATATCAAAGCTCATCAACAAGGAAACAAATTTGCATCTATGAAGTAAATTACAATCTAATTAAAGTGAAATCAAAACTAACCATTCCTTTTAATATCTCAACGGATTCATCAATTTTTTTCTCGTTCAATTTTCCAATTGATTGATCAGATGCAAATCTCAAGGGTAAAGGTGAAATCATCCTTATGGAAAATGATTGTTGACGAATCAACCTAGAGATAGCAGGTAAACAAACCATTTTTCTTTAATCACTAATCAAATGATTAACAATAACGATGACCAAACCACCAAAAGACCAAAAACCTAATAAAAGAAAACAACAAAATGTATCAATAAAAACCAAAATCTCTTCCAAAGGAAAACCCAAAAAGAGATACAAACCTTAAATACCAAACAATGGAAACGAAAATGAACCAATCAAACCAACAAAAAAGTTGCAAATAATCAAATTACAACAAGAAAAAAAAAATCACCAACCTAATCAATCATCAATCAAAAAGTAAAATAAATTTACAATCAAGAAAAAAAAATCACAAATCGATGGCAACAAAAACCAAAAGAAACCAACAAATTCACCAGAAACACTAGTCAACCCACCAGAGAAACGACCACAACCTAATCCAATTAAACAACTAATCAATAGTTAATTAAACAGGAAAAAAAGGAAACAATTAAAACAAAAATTGTTAATTGTTTGATTGGAAACAAAAACAACAACAATTGGAAATTTTTTTTTCCAAAAATTAGAAAAAAAAAACGTTTTTTCCAATCGCAATTAGCCAACGTTCCCTTTGTGGAGCGAAAGTGGTGACATCTGGTGGGAATCGTTCATCGTGTCATCCATTTTAATTTGGATTTTTTTTTGCTCTGAAATTTTCAAGTGAAATTGTGTTTTTTTTTATTGTCTTTGTGAATTAAAAATGTATAAAAGTTGGAGAAAATTGATCCAATGTTGATTAATTTAATTGTCTTATTTAATTGTCATTATCAGTTAACCTGCTCTTGACCTTGTACAAATAGATTGTAAATTTGGTTGAACCTTTTTGGTTTTTCTTTTCTTTTCTTTTTTTTTTTGCTTTTCCTTTCTTCTTCTTTTTCTTAATTTTTCTTTTTGTTTATATTATATATATATATATCATTCTATTATTATTATTATCTACTGGATGGTTCCAATCATGGCGGCATCAACGGCAGCCGAGGCAACAATAAACTGCTGCTCATCAACTGAATTAACATCACCAGAAAATAATAATAATAACAATTCTGATGTTGACAATAATACGGAGGGAAATGAGATGGATAACATTACCATTGATACAAAGGAGACCATTAAAAATTGTAATTTTCTATCCAGTTCCAATCTTAATAATACCACCACCACCACCACAACAACCATAACCAATACTATTACTACTACAACTACCACAGATAATGTTTCTACCACTACCAATACCACCAATATCAACACAACAGCAACAACAGCAACAGCAACTGCAACAACCACTACAAGTAAAACCCCTACTGCTAAAACTATATGTACTATTACTGAGATCATTAATGCAGTAGCTTCTTTACCATCTAATTTATGTCCAGATACAAGTAGTAGTAATGATATTAATAGTGATTATAGTATGGCAAGTGGTGGTGGTGAAATGAATGTCAATAATTTAGACAATATAAGTGTTAAAACACCCGATTCTGATTGTTTCACTCAACCTCTTCCACCATCTAATCTTCCAGTCTTACGTTCAGCATCTAATCATAGTTCAACATCATCATCATCATCAACATGTAATCGTACCATTGATACCGAGGGAACTACAAATTTAAAGCCAGAAAAGGTTAAATCACGATGGAGGAGAAACAGTGAACTTGAATCTGGACATGGGACCGACCAACAACATGCTTATATGAATAATTCATCATCATCATCATCATCATCATCATCTTCTTCTTCTTCTTCAAACCTACAAGGATCAAGTTCAATGGTCAATAACAATAATATCTCAATGGAATCAACTAAAACCTCACCTTTATCATCATCTCTAAATAATTTGACACTTAATTTACCTAAAGAAACAGATCCAGTTCCCGATTATGATCATATTGATGAAAATATTTACCTTTTTGAAAGAAAAAAGTGTAAATTGAAAAAGGAAATGCGTCGTATGGTTTGTAATTGTATTTTAACAAAAGAGGAAAGACAAAGAGGAGTCTTGGGATGTTTAGATGATTGTCTTAATCGTATGTTAATGATTGAATGTGGTAATAGATGCTTATTGGGAGACCATTGTGCCAATAAGCGCTTCCAGAAGAGACAATTTGCCAAAGTTGAACCATTTAAAACGAGTAAAAAAGGTTGGGGATTACGAACAATTCAACCAATTCAACCTGGACAATTTATCGTTGAATATGTTGGTGAGGTGCTTGATCCACGAGAATTTAAAAGTCGAGTTAAACGTTATTCAAAAGAGAATCGTGAACATTATTATTTTATGGCTTTGAAAAGCGATGAGATTATTGATGCAACTCTCAAAGGAAATTTAACTCGATTTATTAATCATAGCTGTGATCCAAATGGTGAAACTCAAAAATGGACGGTTAATGGTGAATTAAGGATTGGATTTTTTGCTTCCAGATTAATTGAACCTGGTGAAGAGATTACATTTGATTATCAATTTCAACGTTATGGTAAAAAGGCTCAGAAATGTTTTTGTGAGGCAACAAATTGTAGAGGTTTTATTGGTTCAACCAATTCAACCAGTATCAATATTGATGGATCTCTAATTGTACCAAAACAACAGCGATCTCTTGAGAAGCAAACTGGTGAAGAAGAGAAACAAACCGAGGAAGAATTTGAAGATCTTGGTTTAGATGAAGAAATTGCCAAATTAACGGCCAGTGGTGGTATAAGAAATCGACAGCAAACTCTTATGCTTGCTCGTTTAATGGTTAGAGCAGAGGATACACCAAATCGTAGCAAATTATTACAAGTTTTAAAAAGTACTCAAGAGGTTGCTTATTTAAGATTATTCTTAGACTATCATGGTCTTCAACTTTTATGGAGCTGGATGGTTGACCTGGAAGATATTTACCTGAAAGGTGAAATCCTTGAGGTTTTGGCTATCCTACCAATACCCAATAAAACTGTTCTCAAGGATAGTAAAGTATTAGATGTTGTTGAACGGTGGGCCAAGCAAGCAGAAAGTGAAGCAAATCAACGTAAAGATGGTGCTCTATCTGTCAATGCGCAACTGCCTCTAATTGTGGAACCATCAACAACAATAATAACAACAATAACAACAGTATCATCATCTCCTTTGGCTGTTCCAGTGAAAAAGGAAGATAAACAAGAAGAAAATCAATCATTAAAAGAAACAGAGTCACAAAGGCTAAAACCATCATCATCCTCATCATCATCATCATCATCATCATCACCATCACCATTATCTAAACAATTGAATGATAAAGAAGATGAACCATCTAAGAAATTGGATGTAACCGATAAAATTGTAAAACAAGAAGAAGAAGAAGATGAAGAAGAGGAAGAAGTAAAAGATGAAGATGATGCCGAAGAGGAAGAAGAAGACAAAGTAAAAGCTACAATTGAATCTGTGGTCAAGTCAGAAAGTGAATCTATCGTTAAAGAGGAAGTAATTAGTCAATCTAAAGAGGAAATAGTGAATCAAAATGAAACTGCCGAGGGTAAACTTACCAACAATAACAGTATTGAACCCATGGAGGTTGGAGTAAAAGATTTACCTGTTGTCGATGTACCAGTTGAAATTGAACTTGGATGTGAAATTGAGATTAAACAAGATGTTAATGGTGTTGTTTATACCGAGACGGCAACAAGTGAAAATCAATCTGCTTCCAGTACTCCTGGAGATTCAACACCAGGTAAACCTGAACCAATTAAAGCTCGAGAAACTCGATCTTTGTCCACTTCTTCAACAACCTCTTCAATTGACGTTTCAACCTCTTCAACAACAACAACAACAACGACAACAACACCAACACCATCATCCACATCTAATGCACCTCCAGTTACCGCTGAAAGAGTAATTGGTAGACGAGTTTCGGTAAAATCTCGTAATGAAATTAAAGATGATACCAATAAGGAATCCAAAGTACCAAAAGAATTGGTTAAACCGATTCCTGATATTGTAATGTTAACATCTAAATTACTTTATCTATGGAAAGATTTGAAAGAGGTATTCAGGATTCCCCGACTTGAGAGACAGAAACGTCTTGAAGATGAGAAAGAAGCTGATCGTAAAGCTGTCGAAGAGCAAGAAAGAAAAGCTCGAGGTCTTCCAATTTTCTATGATCCTAAGGTGAAAAGAGGTATCGATAATCGTGACAATACCATCGCTGGAATCCTTAGGTTACGTGAATTACGTAAAAAGACCGTTAAGAGGCCTTCAGATGATAAAAAATCAGTACAAAACAATTTAAATTCCTCATCACCAGCTTCAAATACAAACAGTGGCAGTGGCAGTGGCATTGGTGCTACTCTTAGTGGAGCAAGTGGTGGTAATGTAAATTCAGATGCTGCTACAGGTCCAACACCACCCAAAGTCAATAAAGAAGTTCATAGGATGCAATTTGAAATGGAATTGATGAGAAAAGATTATTCTGCTGCTCTTGAAAAATATCATGAAGAGATTCGTCAATATAAAGAGAAAATGTTAATGCTTCAACATCAAAATCAACAATTACCTGGACCTCAATCATCTTTACCTATTTATCCAAATTTAAATCATCTACCAGTACCCCAACCACCAACTTTTGACTCAAATTATTTACCATCTCATGGTAATTTACCAATACAACATCAAAGCCCATTTAAAACAGGACAACAAGTGTTCAACAATTCACCCAATTTAATCAGTTTACCCTCTCATCCACCACCGCCCGTACCTCCAACCGCCCTTGGTATGTTTCCCGAAGCAGCCAATCTATTTACCGGTTACGGTGTAAATAGTGATTACTCCTCAAATTCTGGTTTAACAACACCGGTAACCCCTGTTGCCCCATTGACACCGCTTACACCATCAACCGATTATCATCAACAAACATATAATCTTGAGTCTCATCATCCTAATCACATAAACACCATAACAACTACCTCTCAACAATTTTCTTCTTCTTCTTCTTCTTCCCATCCATCAAATAAATTCATCTCAGAAGAATCAACATTTAGATTAAAAGATAATAGACCCGATTTTGGTTCTCCATCAAACAATAGTACATCTGATTGTAACCAATCATCATTAACCAATTACTTGTCATTTTCCTCAATTCCTGTATTAATTGATTGTACTGTTAGTCTTAATCATACTCTAATGTCAGATGAAGAAGCTGTTATTTCAACGGATTATGGTGTTGAGTATGTCCCTGTTAAAAAATCATCCTTATTACCATCATCATCTCCACTAAAATCATCGTCAACAACATCATCATCCTCATCATCAGGAACCACCACCACCACCACAACAACAACAACAACGACAACGACCAACAGCAAAGATAAATCTTGTTCTAATAGTAACAATAATTCAAGTAGCATTAATTGTAATATTAGTATTAGTGGTAATTCTAGTAACAATGATAGTCATGAGACTCTTTTTAATAGTGTTTATCCAGCCCCAGGAACCTATTATTTAACACCAGATGATAATTGTTACTTTGTTCCACCT